ATATATATATATTATAAACATTATTCATTCGCATTAAATTTTATTTTGCTTGTATCATTTAGAGATGGGAGACAGTGATGATGAGTACGACCGCAGGAGGAGAGACAAGTTCAGACGGGAAAGAAGTGATTATGATCGTTCAAGAGAAAGAGAGGACCGACGCAGAGATGACTGGAACGACAGGTATTGGACAGAAAACACTGATCTCATTAAATCTCAGTCAGAAACCTTGTGTAGTGAAGCCTAATACAACCACTTATTCAGTGACTGTTGTGTAATTCTCCTGATACTCTGCTGAAACACACAAGACAAGTAAGTTTATGTTTGTTTTTCTTTTTAATCAACACATCAGGGAGTGGGATAGGGGCAGGGAACGTCGTAGTCGCGGCGAATACCGGGATTATGACCGAGGTCGCAGAGAGAGATTTTCCCCATCCAGACACGACATGAGTCCCCAGCAGAAACGCATGAGAAGAGACTGGTGAGATTATTAATAACACTGAGAACACATTCTCCTGCTGGGTTCTTCTCTTATTCAATCTGGTTTATGTGTCTTGACAGGGATGACCATGGTGGAGACCCCTACCGCGGGGGGTATGACTTGGGATTTGGTGGCGGAGGCGGGCCGAGCTATGGCCCGCCGCAGCACTGGGGCCACCCTGATCTGCACCTCATGCAGCCTCACCAGGGGATCCCCATTCAGGCCAGGTGAGAATTGAACTCGGGAACCAGTCAGTTCATTGTTTTCCAAAACTACTTCACTTAAATCAGATCAGGTCTAGTCAACACTAAATCCAACTCTCTTTCTTTCATTAGGCTTGGTAACATCCATGACATAGACTTGGGTCCWCCCCCTCCGATAATGAAGAGCTTTAAGGAGTTCCTTCTGTCTTTGGACGACTCTGTGGATGAGACGGAAGCAGTGAAGCGCTACAATGAGTACAAGATTGACTTCCGCCGGCAGCAGATGCAGGACTTCTTTTTGGCTCATAAAGATGAAGAGTGGTACGATCAGAGCTGCCTTTACCATGACACTGTTACCTAAATGTGACATTAAATAGCTGTTAAAGTGTTTTACTTTTAGTTTTTAGGTTTATCACTAGGAACAAGCAATATTTTTCCYTTTTTTTATGAATTACTAGTGTTTTATAAAGGATATAATGATAGTTTTAAGTGTCGTAAGTTACATTTAACATTAATAAAATAGCAAAGAAGTCCATTAAATCAGAATGTAGACTATTCAGCTCAGATAATTAGTGCTGGTACTCTTGATATCTACATATCAGAATAAGAAAGGATTGCTGTATTTATGTGTGTATAATGCTATTCGAGTAAAATGCAAAAAAAAATTCTTGAGCCTGAAAAGCATAAAACAATCTTAGCCATGTGTATAATAATAATAATACCCTTAATTTCATACAGACTTCAGGGTTTTTCAGCCTTTGCGGTGTACCCTCTGGGGGAGAAACAGATTGTTTTGGGGACACTTGTGGGCATTTTTGTGGGTGCGGAGAAGCAGCTTGAGCTTCTACATGTCACTCAAAATGATCTGACCATGATGTGTTTWAAAAAAAAACAACTACTGTTGTTATTTATGTGCTTCGTTATGCATGATGGATGCATGACGGCAGAGGGAGCAATCATGATGATTTATCCCCTTTGTCACAATACTTCAGTTAAATCCAAGAAAATATGGAAATTTATTGTGGTTGGACGTTAGTATTAGTATAATACGACCCCCAACTTTCTGAACTATTTTTTTGCATTATACTCACATAAATATGGTAATGAACATGCGTCATTTTGCTAAGTGCTTTTGTGTTGTGAGTTTACAGTCAGTCAGAGCCGAAGCTTCTGCTTGTAAAAATACAAAGATCTTAGTCTTCTTTGTTTTTTTTTTATTGGTTGAATTATTATTTTTGTTATTTAATATCATACAGTTCAAGTTGTTTATTGTTTTTAATGCTTACTACTTGTTCCACAGGTGTCATGTATAAAAATATGTTCAGTTTTGACCTAACCCATCCTCCTTCCCTTCACTTCCACGTTGACGACGATTTTTTTCTTACCCCAGCTGAGAAGTGGAGCTCGTCCGCACCAGTCAGTCTTAGACAGCGAGGGTCCGCACTGCGCACAATGCAGTTGCTTTTAGACACAAAGTACCAGGGACTTTAGAAAGATAGCTGAGGAGTCCTCCACACATGGAGGAGTTTTTTCTTCTTTTTTGTATTTTTTTTCCTGCATCATTTTCTTTTTCATATTTGGATCAAATCGAGTCCCAAAACCCAATTTGTGTGCATACAGACACACCACTGGGGTGAAGTGGAGCGCATTTTGACAGAAGAGACCCCTCTCCTTTGTGTAATTATTTGTTATTAAACTGGCAGAGCAAAAGGTAACTGTGGTCCACTCAATGATAAACATATTTAATGTTACAATAATCAAATGCTTAATTGAAAATTGTCTTTTGTAATGTTTTGGTAAGTTATTTTTTTGTATTTTAAATATAAGCTATGATTATTACAGACTAGATTTAGGATCTACAGACCACAAAATGCAAAAATTCAAATACATTTAATTTCTACTAATGTATTTGAATTTTTTTTAAAGATGTTTCAACAAATAGCCTGGCACTGTGGGTTTAAGTTGTTGAAAATCTCATATTAGGATTTTGTAAAAGCTCAGATCAATCAAAATGTTCAATATAATGTTATGACATCAAAAAAATGTGGCTTGGATGTGTAATTTTATTTATTTTTCTTCTTCTTTTGTAACTTTTGCATCCTTTCCATCCCAAACCCCCGTCATTCCCTCCCCACTCTTTTGTGGATCCCAACTCTGGACACAGGTTCAGGTCCAAATACCACCCAGACGAGGCCAGCCGGCTTAAGGCAGAGGCTCAGAGTGGCCTCCACAATCGCCTGAATGTCTTTATGTTCCTGTTGGAGAACGGCTGGTTTGATAACGTGTCCATGGACATCGAGAAGACCCCGGCCATCATCAAGGTTCTGGATGCAGGTGAGGCCTCGGACGGCTTAAAGAGAAATGTTGGAGATTTTGTTATTAACTGAAAAAACAGAAGTGTTTTGGGAGAACAGTTGACTTCCTCTTTATTTTGCATTAAAATACAAACTTTTGTTTGCCATTAGCTGTGATAAAGATGGAAGGAGGGACTGACCACGATCTTCGCATTTTGGACATGCCACCTGAAGAGGAGGTGAACAGGGAGAAGACCGGGGCTGTTCCAGGAGGACCTGAGTCTCCAAAGAAGGAAGACCTTAAAGCATTGCCTGGAGACCGCAAACCCTCAGTGGAAAAAGACAAAACAGAGAAGGTGTGTACATAAAAAAAACTCCTGTTGGCATTAATTTTATAGAGCTGGTTATGATGGCTGACTGTTCTGCAGGAGGAAAGCGATTCTGCCGGCGCAGACAAAGCAGCCACAGCAGATGGGGAGGATGTGAAAGAGGAGGCAGAAAAACATGATGTCAAAGAAGAAGTGCCTGAACCGAAAAAGGTTATTGTTGCTCTGATTGAAGAAATAACTTGTTTGCAACATGAAGACATCACCCACACAGCCCTGGTGTTCTCATTCGACAGGCAAGAAGAAAGAGGAAGCGCAGCGAGGACAGTGACGACGAAGCCTCGGCCTCAGAGAGCGAGTCCGACTCTGATTCTGACTCCAACTCCAACTGCTCTGACAAACCCGACAGGAAGGAGGAAGCAGAGGACAAGGACGAGGAAGCAGAGGACAAGGACGAGGAAGCAGAGGACAAGGACGAGGAAGCAGAGGACAAGGACGAGGAAGCAGAGGASAAGGACGAGGAAGCAGAGGAGAAGGACGAGGAAGCAGAGGACAAGGACGAAGAAGAAGAGGAAGGTGAAGGTGAGGAATCAAATTTGTGATGCTTTTAAAGGGGGTATTATGTAAAATTTACTTTTTTGAGTTGTAATGTAATTTCCTCATCAAACACACATTCAGAGTGTTTCTTTGACTCATTCATGGGTGTTTGATAAATCCTTGAATCTCCTGTAGCCACGTGGAGCTGTCTAAACTCTTGCTGGTACAAAGCTCCGCCTATTTAACCAAAGCTCCTCCCTGGAGCTCAGTCTGCAGCTGAGCTCCCAGCCCAAAGAGCACTCCTCCCTCACAGYTCCACCAGACTAGCAAAACATATCTTAAAAACAGTGAATGTTCATGTTTTCATTGGAAACAGCTTCATAATGACATATATTTATAGTTTCTTCGCAAAAAGTAGCTTCTTATACCCAAAAACTGTTTTACATGTACATCAGTAACATAGTTTTTGGGTACAATGTGTGATCATTCGAGTAAGWTTCAACTGTACTCTGAGCTACCAATTTCAAAAACCGATATTATATAATATTGCTTTTTTTATATATTTTTTTATTTTTACAACAAAATACTATGCAATATATTAAACAGCATGAAGCATTGTTATGATTACATGATGAAGCGGGAGTGTCAGAAATGGTAGGAGGTTCCTAAAGAGAGAGAGGCCAATTTCAAGTTGCTTTAAACAGACTTTGATGCAAAGTCCAATTTTTGATATATACAGCATTTTCATAACAACTGAAGGTACCACAGCAGCGGTTGACATAAGGAGTTACTTGAGGTGTAGAATTGAACTATGTTCCAGGAAATTACGTAATACCTCCCCTTTAAAGGATTTCTAACTAATTTCAAGAGTTTTACAATCAGATGATGAACATGGTCACTCGGTTTGCTTTCTTTCGTTGAATGTCCTAGAAGAGAAACAAAAGTCTGAGGAGAACAGGAAGGAAGAGAAGAAGCCCAAAGATGACTCTCCCAGACCGCGGCCGCTGCACAAAACCTGCTCTCTGTTCATGAGGAGCATTGCTCCGACTATCTCCAAGGCTGAGATTGTGGCTGTGAGTTAAAACATAAACAATATAGATCACCTGAGAAATGTAGAATCACTTATATTAAATACATTTTGTGTTTATCTGACCTTTAAATGTATGTTTGTTTTCTCCAAAGCTGTGTCGGCGTTACCCTGGTTTTCTGCGTGTTTGCTTGTCTGACCCTCATCCTGAGCGCAGGTTGGCTTAAAAAAACAACTTTCCCTTTAATAATTGTATGAAGGCACTCATTGTGTGACACGAGAACAAAGATACAAAGTGTTTTAGTGAAGCTTGTCCTTTTTCAGGTTTTTCAGACGCTGCTGGGTGACGTTTGACCGTAGTGTCAATATCAAGGAAATCTGTTGGGATTTACAGAACATACGTGTAGGTGTTCATGACGCGTGTCAAACATTTTATGTGCTTTATCTCTTCTGTATGAAGGTTTTATTGTTTTAACACAGAGAAACCAGCATGGGTTGTAGATTTATYTGTTGTTTATACATATATTTGACTTGGCACTGTTAGATTACATTTGTATTTTTAATAACTTTTCTGCTTTTTTAATTATTTTATTAAAGCTGCAGTTAAAGGATGTGTTCAGAGTCTTTTAGTGTTTTTCATCTTATTCTTACTTGTGCAAATTTTACCATTAAATCTTTGTTTCACTGTTTGTTTGTTTTTTTAAAGCTGCGAGACTGTGAACTGGCACCAGGGGTGAACCGGGACTTGGTTCGCAGGGTGCGTAACGTGAACGGCATCACTCAGCATAAGCAGGTGCTCCGCAACGACATCAAGCTGTCGGCCAAGCTCATTCATGCTCTGGATGAGAAGGGGAGCCTGTGGAGCAGCAGAACTCAAGAGGAGGGCCAGGGCTCTGAGGTACTGTTGATCAACTCYTCAACGTTTTGTAAATGTTTGAGGTTTTTAATGAGTCATTCTAATAKGTTTTTCTTTTCTAACAGTTGCCAGCTCAGAATCCCGTGCTGAAGAATATCACTGACTACCTGATAGAGGAGGTGAGTGCTGAGGAAGAGGAGCTCCTGGGCTCTGGGGGTGGATTGGATCCTGAGGAGAGTTCTAAAGAAGGAAACCCTACAGAGATGACTGTGGAAAGAGACGACAAACTAGCCAAGGTTTCATTTTTTATTTGCATAAAACATGGCTCCAAATTAAAACAATATTAATTYGTTCTGGTCTAAATGGCCCAAGTTGGTGGATTAGTTATTTACAACTGTTTTGAGATTATTTTTTTTTTAATTTCAGGTTTTAGACCGTTTGATCTTGTATCTGCGGCTTGTTCATTCGGTCGATTACTACAACACCTGCGAGTATCCCAGCGAGGATGAAATGCCCAATCGCTGCGGCATGATCCACGTCCGTGGACCCATTCCTCCCAATCGGATTACACAAGGAGAGGGTCAGTGTGTTTATTTACCACATTTTGTTTAGGAGCTAAAAAACTGAGACTAGATGCACTTAATTGCTTTTTTTTTTGAATGGCATAGTTACATTTTGGTTAATGATGTATTGGTGCAAGTTTCAGTAAGAGTTTTTAAAGAAATATATTAAAAGAACAGTCAGAAATCTATAYGTATTGTTTTTATTGAACTCAGGTCACCTTGATCATATCTGTGATTTATTCATGTCTGTATTACTGATGCTTCACCACTAGATGTCACTACATCACCCACTCTGGACCTTTAAAATGAATGAACGCCTTTTATTATTATATAYGTGTGCAAACAGATTAGTGCAAACATACACTTAAAGTAAAAAGTTAGGAACAAAAGTAAACTRTAGTGATATTGTAGACTTGGTTACTGATATTGCACAGTATTGTAATAAAGTTAAAATAAAGTGATTAATTCAAGCACAGTAGRTGAGTGTAATGTGTGTGTCAAAGGAAGTCCAGGGGTTGGGAARGTTAGACTGTGAAGTCAGATCATGTGTGACTTCAGCACGTTTTTGGCAAAACATGTTCACAATAAACCACAATAAGGCTCTTCTTCAACTCAAAGTTTTGGTCACATGTTTTGTGCATCTTTCTTGTTTCCTTTAAACAGTGCAACAGTGGCAGAAAATGATGGAGGAGAAGTTGTCTCCATTGTTTAGTTTAAAAGAAGTCCTGTCTGAAGAGGAGGCGGTGAAGATGGGTCGTAAGGATCCCGAGGAGGAAGTGGAGAAGTTTGTGTCTGCCAACACTCAAGAGCTGGGAAAAGACAAATGGCTCTGCCCTCTAAGCGGCAAGAAATTTAAGGTGAGGCTTAGAAAAATGCTGCAGTGTAATTTATCCACCTTATTCCAAGACTTGTGTGAATTATGGGAACCATTTTCAGTGGTACACTATCACAACTACAATATAAAATTTAGAGTAAGATTTTTTTTAACTGCCTCTGGGTTTACTCTTAAACAAGGCTGTCGTGAAACTACAATATTTTTAGTTTTATGCTGGTCCGCCATGCCATAAACACTCGTTGCATATTAACTACAGATAATACCAAACAACTAAGGCCGTGCTCTTCATATATTTGAAATCATACCTAATGTTCTTGTCACACTTTTTAAAATCCTTCAGAGGATCCAATGTCCCTTCTCCGCCAGAGGTTTACCAAGGCGTAAAGTAGGATGCAGGTTTTCCTCCGTCGGCTGTTTGTAAACAAAGTGAAATAAGCAAACTTGCAGAGTTTTGGTAGTCGCTTCATATTCTGACTTTTCAGCCACATTCTTCTTGACTCATCATCTGTAGATAGGTGATGAAAACTGCCACTTTCTTTCTATAACACTTTTTTTGTTTGGGTCTGTGTTCAAAACGTTGTAGCCACTGATTCAGTTTCCACATCAATATACTGATAAAAATGATTGAGTCAGTTATATTAGAGCAGAATGAAAAACGCTCCATATTCTCATCATGTGCCTGATGTGGATTGGTATATGCTCATCTAACATAATGACTGTTAGATAGACATATGATATTGCGTCATATGGATCGCAGATGTGTGAATTAAATTGAGTCAAAATCCTATCGTGAAAGATTTCCCTCAGGAATAAGGTGGATACAAAATGTTTTGATGTTATAGTTCATGCTGGCAGCTGAGTTTACAACATGTCATTCATTTCAAATCAATTTCAAGGGTCCAGAGTTTGTACGGAAGCACATCCTGAATAAACATGGGGACAAAATTGAAGAGGTGAAAAAGGAGGTTGTGTTTTTCAACAATTTCCTCATGGATGCTAAGAGACCRTCACTTCCAGAGATCAAACTTCCACCTCCTCCTGGTCCAGGGCAAGGTTGGTCCTGTTCTTTCTAAACACTTCAGTTAGAGCTCCTGGACTTRGATATTAACTGTGAATTGTTTGTAAAGAATAAAATAAACATCTTATTTTTCCTACAGGTTTGCTCTCTCCCACTTTGCCATTCCCTCCTCAAGGTCCTCAAGTTCCAATGAGTTTTGTTCAGCCACGCCCACCACTGATGGGATACGGCGGTATGTTACTGCTTAAACATGTTCAAATAGTCTGAATGTTTTTTTTTCAACCAGGCTTTAATCTCTAAATTCTTTTGTCCCAGGTGGGCCTCCTTACCCACCTAATCAGTTTGGAGGAGGCAGAGGAAACTATGACAACTTCCGGGGCCAAGGTGGCTACCTGGGAAAACCACGCAACATCAGGTAAGACCAGTTCTACGTGGGCTTTTTGAACGAGTCAGCTGTTTGTTTTCAAGCTCATTCCTGTTTGTTTTTCCTCCTTCAACCCTGAACCATCTCAGAATGTCCCGAGGAGATCCACGAAACATCATCGAATATCGAGACCTGGACGCACCAGACGATATGGACTTCTTTTAGAAGGTTCACTCAGTCCCTCCTACCTTTTACTCTTTAGCAGTGTTTTTTTTCTGCCTGTTTTTTTAGTACTTAACATTATTTCTTTTCATAAGTATTTCATTTTGTAATGGTTGTGCAACTATAAGATGCTTCTGTACTGCTGTCAACTGGTTCAACAATAAAGTTGGTTTAAGTCAATAAATCCAATAGTCTTTTGTTTGTTTGACTTTAGGCAAATCGCAGAAATCAAATGACAAACAGCTGATGAAAAAAATCCACCCAGAAAGTTCATCCATGACAAATCAAATCCTTATTAAGACACTTAAGAATCAGTGTTGGGCCTTAACTAATTTAATTTGACACGTTCACATTAAAAGCACAAATTTCAGGTATTGAAATAATTAAAATATATAGTTTTTTGTTCTTAAACTGTTGACCTGGCTTTAACTCTGCAAAGTAAATGAGAAATGAAAGACAAGTAAAAAATCAAACAATTTATTATTTGGACTTTGTAGTTTTTCATTTCCACTGACAAGATCAGAAGTAAACGCAGACAAATATATTAAAGCATGTACAACATAGCAGCACTTTATTTATAGCTTATACATTATTATTATTGGAAAACATTTGCAAATACATTATAAGCTGCATCCTCACTAAGTTTTAATTCCTAAAACAAATGTAAGCCAGGAGGAGACGATTTACACAAACGCTATAATTCAGTTTTAGATGCCAATTAAAAAAATGGAAAATGCACACTCGTGGGACATGGGGTGGAAAATAAACCATTAAACCTATTAATATAACAATTAGGACATTGTGTAATTATTAAGCAATCTAATTAAATACTGCTTTATGTTGGTTCATCAAATAATAATGGAGAAAAAAACTCATTTTTTCCAAGAAATCTCTCTTAACTAGAGCTGAAAGAAGATACTGACGAAACATTTTAGTCTTAAGAGGGTTCATAAGTTAAACATGAGTAACAAGGAGGTCTTTAAAACGGTCTCTTGGGCTGGAAAAATATAGGAAAGTAAAGGAGATCTTCAACAACGATGAGTTTATAAAACTTCACTCCTGTAAGATCTGTTCAGTCTCATTAGAGAAGGAACACTAACATTTAATCACCACTAATGAAAATGAATTATGGAAAATTYCTGTTTGTTGCCTACTCTGTAGATTTATATGACATAATTTAGATGAGCTGTAGCTACGATACATGTAAACCAGCATATTTTTTAAAAAAAAAAAAGAGTTATAAAAACAAACAAAAAATACTAGTTTTAGCAGTTTTATTAGGATGAACTGGAAAGCTGATGCTTTAAATATTTGTGCTCCTTAGGATTTTTAGAAAATCCTAATCATAAACACACATTGACAGATTAAATCTTGTCACAATTTCACTTTTATGTCTAAATAAAATTTCTTTTTCTACATGTTTTTTACATCTATTATTTAGCCATTTTAGTGCCTCAAAATGTATTTTATAAGCCTCAAACCTTAATACAAACTTCAAAGTATTTTACTGGGATTTAATAAAATCAATCAAACAAAATGTGAAGTGGAAATAAAAAGTGATAAATGGTTTTTAGGTTGTTTGTAATACATAAAAATCTCAAATGTGTGGCGTGCTCCTTTACTCGGATACCCCAAACTAAAATCCAGAACAGCAAACGGTTAGAATCCACCTGTGTGTAAATTTACCTGGTAGGTCCAGTATAAATCCAGCAGCTCTAAAGGCATCAGAGGTCTTTAATCAAACACATAGTGATCAAACAGCATCATGAAAACAAAACGGTGTAAAATATTGAGCACAGTCCATCATCCCAGTTCCTTTTGCAGCACGATTATGCACTACTTTGTTGTGAGAAGTACTTAAAGAAACACCCTTTTTCAYATTTAAATCATTCAGTTGTGGTCTATATAAAGTGGAACTGCAGTGTTTTGGTTTGAATTCCTCATTGTAACTCCACAAGCCCCTCTTTCACCCCTTTTCWGAGGTGCGTCTCAGATCAAATCGCTTTGAGACTGTCTCTTTAAAACTAAAGGAGGCGATTCAGACCCCGCCCCCCGTCCACTTCCAGGCCAGTCCACTCCAGTTAGATAGAGGGGTTTACGACTATATAGCAGCGCAGAAACTTTGTATTTACAAATTGATTAAAAGATGTCAACAAGATTTGTCCATCCAGCCTCACATGTTGGAGCCAGAGTCTGACACAGAGGAGAATAAAATGACAAAAGTAGTTGGTGAGTCCAGATCTTGTTCAAAAATCCCATCGCAAATACTTTGACGTAATAATTCAATAGAAAAAAACTGAACAGAATATAAAGATATCTTTGCAGCACCAGGAGAGACTAAATTCAACTTTTCCGCACTCACAGATACTCCAAATACAACAAAATGCATTTAACAACTAAATAAAAGTGGATTTTGCATGATATGTCCTCTTTAAAATCCCAGTAAAATGCTTTGAAGTTTGTGATTGTGGCATGACAAATTGTGGAAAAGTTCAAAGGCTACAAATACTTTTTTAAAACACTGTTTCAAGGTGCTGTAAATGTCTGCATCCAGTAGCAGCATGGATAACCGCACCCCACCACCACGCTTTTAGTGTCTATGACCCTCCTGCAGGTCTTGGGTCAAAAAGACTCACAAGGCCTTGTTAATATAAACATTTTGACAACTCTAGAAATGTGCACGAAAATGCCCTCAGTACATTTGTTAAATTACTCCAGTAATCTCCGCTGAAAGCCACAGTATGAACGGTTCAACATTGGTGAGAAAAGTCTAAATAAACTGAAGCTTGTGATCCTCAGAAAGTCCACAGCTGACCTTGTGTTCATGAAATAATTTGGCTAGAGCCTCCATGTAGAGGCGGTGATAATGATCAACCTCCTCCTCCGTCGGCATGACCTTCAGTGGCACTGAGATTGGACTTCCCACTGAAAAGCAATGATTTATAGGAAAACGGGCTCAGTCCATGGAATGCTTTTGGTATTAATTGGAGGGTTTGTGAAATACTCACCGACAGTAGTGACTGGGGTCCTGTAGGGCAAGAGTACRAAGCGCTCCCCGACAAATAGACATGGAGCGAAACCCGTTATCTTTTTAAACAAGTCCTGCAGCCTGCGGCCCAGACTGCCCTCTGAGAAAACCACCTGCTGGAAAAGCTCGTTCTCCCCGAAGGAGTAAACCGGCACCAGATCAGCTCTGTGGAAAACCATGGAAGTTATTGTAGCAGTGATAACCTACAGCATGCCTCAGTCTGTGTGTTCTCACCCAAACTCCAGAGCCGTCCTGACAAACCCTTTCCTCTGCTTCATGACCACCGTGTTGACTCCAGGAGAGGAGGACAGAGACTCAGCCGCACCCCCCACCACAATCACCACCGCATTTCCTTTGCCGTTTTTAGACAGGAGGTGGACGAGGCTCGTTTTGCTGACCGGACAAAGACCTTGAGACATGGACAAGAGCCTCAGCGGTTCATCTCATTGAGACTAATTTGGTTTAAAGGCAAGAACATTATAGGATGGACCAAATGATCTGAGCAGGTGTAGGCATAACAAAACACTGTCAATAAAAACTTGTTGGTCGTTTGTCAGTTTTGCCAAAAAGGTTAAAAGGTTGAGACTAACAGTCTATAATATTAGGGTTGTCGACTTGGTAAATACCTGCAGCCATGAGGTATTCCCTGAAGAGTGGTAATTTGAATAGGCCTGCCAGTGTGGCCAAGGTGGACTTCACCCCAGGAAACTCCTCGGCAAAGCCGCAGGCCTCTGTGCTGAAGCAGGCGAAGCCTCCAGCGCTCATGATTCCATGTGGATGGATGCCAAAGATGTAGTTTTTCTTTGGACTCAGTTCTGCCGTCTTCACCAGCTGAGCAGAAAACAGTAAGAACTCGCTGATCAGTCAGATTCTGCCATTAATCAGAAAACCAAACCTACTTTTACAGCACTTTATCAGACCGTGTGGAGATAAGAAGCAGAGTTTTATGTTAACCTGTTAATGGAAGTGTTTTATAACAAAGATGATTTATTCCAGGGACTTTTACCTGAGCTGCAGTATTATGCTTCATTTGTACACATCTCAGGAAAGTTTTGAAGTCATTGGAAAATTTATTGGAAATGCATGCAAAGGATTTAAGTTTTTCTGATACGTTTTATAATCCAGGTAGAAAAATCTAACAAGGCTGAGTCAGGTCCAGTGGCCATTGGTCTGTAGATGAGTGTAAAAGATGAAATGACTTAACTCAAGATATTGTTTCTTAACCCAAAATTAAAAGAAGCTGGGGGTGACTTGGATAATTTACATTTGTATTTCAATGAAGGCATAACCCAAAACCTATATTTCTAGTGTATCTGCTATTTTTACATACATTAAATTAGACAAGTATTCAACCAGAACTGTCATTTCTAAATTACTTTTAAAGCTACATGGGTAATGAATTAGAAAACATTGGTTCTGTGCCAAAATACAGCGGTAAATTCATTAATGTCACTGAAAAATGTACAGTTTCAAACAGAAGCCTTGTGTTAACTTTGTCCAGAGGCAGTAAGAGCCTCTCTGAACGAAACATCACGCAGTGAAAATGAGGCTCATGGTCTGACAAGTGGGTTTGAAAGAACTGGACCAAAGATAAAAATGTTTTTGAGTAACAAGTCCCAATAGCAGACTCTGTGATGGTTTGGGGTGGTGTCAGTGTTGGCAAAGCTCATTTACACCTCCGAGAAGGTACTGAGGTTTTACAGCAACATATGGTGCCTCCTTTAATCCACAGATCTTACTGGATTATTTTTAACAAGATGTAAAAACCACGTTTGGCACGTTTCAAAAAGGAGTGAAGAAGTTCGTACAGAAACTAATTGGTCTGTCTCCTTAAATGGCAGAAACCCCATTTTGAAAGTGTGTTTGCATGAAGAACAGAGGGAAAGAAATGCCATGAATGACTGATAGCTTTCTGTCTTGGATAAACATTTTATTTAAGTAAGAAACTATTTTAGATTTTTGGTTGTCGTTCATTTAAATTTTTTATCAAACTACATCAAATGATGACAGTAAATCTGATAGGGGAAAAAGGCTTAATGAAACTTACTTTAATTGGGAAATAGTCTCTGAAGTGTTCCCAAACCTTCCACTTCCTCACAAATGTTGTTCTTCTTCCCCCTGATGGACACAAAAATGTCTTTAAACTAAAGGAGTCTCAGTTTTATTTGGGTTTACTTTATTGAGATGCTTATTGTCAAAGCAATCCATTTTACATGCAGAAAAAAAGTCAAAAAGGGATATATTGAAGGTAGATAAAATTATACTGAATAAACTGTAATAAAGCATTTCTTGGTTTAGGAAGCTGCCAATGGACCATTTTATTCCTCTATAACACTGACACACAATAGATAAATTCATTACTGACTGATTATATGTTGTACTGTTTTGCTTTGTTGTCGGATCATTTAGATGCTSTGCTCTGCTGTGATTGGTTGTTTTGCTACGAAGCTGTGATTTGTGGTGTGGGCCAGATCTGGTRTTAAACTGGCACTGCTGACATGACAAGTAGTTTGTCAACCAGAGGTGGGCCAGGTCTGGCAATGATGGCACTGTTTTTAAGGATGGCAAACCACAACTGTCCCAGTTGTGGTTTGGTTTACGTAAGGCTGGTTTAACTGGGCCAGACAAATTTTTCAAAATGGGAAGCATGTAGCAACCATTGGTTAATGGAACTATGATCCACACAGCAATGACTGCAAACTGTGTCAGAATTGCTATTTCTTCTCTGAGCATTTCAAGAGTTGTTTAACCCCTTACTGGAGGGTCTGATGACCTTTTTAAATTTATTGGCAGATGCATGCAACAAGACAATATACCAGGAGATTTCCCAGACAATGGCAGAGCTTGGTTACACCCGCACATACAAACAGTGTCGGGACAATCTAAAGCTGAAGTCCAATTATGAGGCTCCTGGTCCTCCTGGGTTCAGTCTCTGGTTTGAATGTGGCATCTTTCTGTGGGGAGTTTGCACGTTCTCCCTGTGCTTGTGTGGATTTTCTTCGAGTACTCTGGTTTTCCCCACAGACCAGAAACATGGCCAACAGGTTGCCTTCAGGCCTCCCTTGCAAAAGAGACTTTGATGGAATTTGCCTGGTTGAATAATGGTTAATAAATAAAAATAAATAAAATGCTAGGAACTAAATGGGTCAGTATAAGTAGCATATGGTRCACATTTTAGGACATCCTCAGACATCAAATGGCCTCAAACATCAGACCAAAGACAAAAAAGCATCACGTTTTATTGAAAACCCCATAGACCTCTGATACTTTAAGTATGAGTTTTTATTCTGATGCATATGGGCTGCCATAAACAGTAAACGTCTCAGAATTGAAAAAGTATGATAAACTCCAGTCAACGTAACATCACAAAACAGAAAACATTAAAAAAAATATGTAGTCCTGACTGTCAAAATGTCTAAATTAGTAAATGCATACAATATAAAAGTACCTTTTTCAGGGGTGTACCAGTCTTTCACCATCCATATGAAGTACAGAGTGGCCAGCGGCCACAGGGAGGTAAACATCAGATAAACCATCAGGATTAAACAAGCCACTCCTGGAGGTGCAAGATCAGGGTTTCCACAGTCCGTGTAACAAGATCACAAGAAAAGTCTGATGAGCTCATGCAGAATCAGTACTTAAAGTCAGAAACTGATTAAATCTTACCCAAAAAAAGAAAACTCAGCACCCATTGAAGAACACTTATTGCTTCTATGAACTCCTTCCTCTGAGTTTTTTCTTTAGTCATTTTCGCAACCTGGAGGTCAGAGCACAGTTGCCATTTTACACTAAACCTCAGTTCATTAAAGTTCATGGGCAAGGGGAAAAATAATGCTTAAATGAGTTGAAGATAATAAAACAGATCATAGATGTCTTTATGACTGAGAACAGATTATCAGCGCTGCAGCTCGTGTCCTCAGGCTTCCCCTTTTTTGAGGGTAAAGAAATCTAAAAACTAAACTTGTTCAGCAGTCTGATGAAATGGCTCGCTCATGAAACGAGCTGATATAGCTTATACAATTAATAATCTGCTCACATATCCAAACTTGGATAGACACAAAAATCAGCTTTGGCCTGCAGTGATTACAACGAATATCTAATTCTGATCATTCTGTCCAACAAAGAAGACAATACTTTACCTTCGTGGAGTTTATTTCTGAGGTTAATTTGAATGGATCAACTCTCACTGGGTTTTTCACAGTTCACCACAGTGCACTTTGACCAGATCACYTACTGAGAGGCTGCTGATAACAAATCCACTCCCCCGATACTTTAACTTGCACGCTGTGTGAGTCAGTCAGCTCACTGGGTCAGTTCAGTTTGGTTACTTTGCATAATGGATCTTGGGAACATCATCAGAAGGGGCAGAAAGTGATTTTGTTCTCTCCAGCTGGGAATAAAAAGATTACGTAACAATCTGTTTATTCTGAAAGAAACAAATCTAGTACATGCTCATCTGATTTGTTAAAAGCTTAAAAGTACACTTCTTATCAAGTCTTTCTCTTTGCTAACATGTAAATAAAGGACAAGTCATGGCTCTTCTCTTATCAGAAAGAATTGATTAAAAATGATTACCAGATGTTGGCTCAGAATTACCATACATGATTTTTTGTCTGGGGCCAGGATAGAATCTGTCATTGCTGCAGGTGTTTCACAAGGCAGGAGTTAAACAGGAAGTAGAAAGGTGTCCGCCCACCTGGAGGTATTTAAAGTCAAATGCACAGAGAAAGAGCCAAACAAAGAGCTACATTACATATATGAGAGACTTAAAAACATGTTCAGACAGTTTATTTTGTCAACATAAAATCAATCTGAACAATTTAATATCTTCCTCCCTCATATTTATTATGAAGAAATGACAAAGACTTACTTTTAATACTTGATCTGGGTCAGGGGTCTGGAAAGGGGTCTTCAGCTGATTAATTTGATACTTTATTGTGTCCAGCTTGTTTTAGTTGTGAGGGGATAAGACTTGAAAATAAAAAGAGAGTATTTTAATTGTGAGTGTTTTAATAAGTGCATTTTTTGTTTTCTTGATTATTATTGATTATTATTATTATTTACATTTTAGAGCATAATATATTCTAACTCAAAACTTCTATTTAAAAGTGAAGAGTGTGTTCTAACCTTTTATGTCATTGATGTAAAACCCTGGGGGAACATAAAAACACATTTAATGACGTGATGTGTAGATTTTGCATAGCGACTTGTTTGAGGCTTGCTTTTTAGTCTGAGTTTCTGCCTGATGCTGCTGTGCTGATGACTATTCCTGCTCTTAGTTGTATAGACACTTATTTTAGCTTGGGTTATTTAAAGTTGATGTTGGCCATTACACATTTTCTAGTGTGATATTTTTATTATTTTATTAGTTTTATCAAGGCTTGTGTTAATAAATATGAGTCATTTTGGTCCTGCTCTGAGCTGAAGTCTCTTATCGCAGCTGGACGCAGAACCCTCAGGTACTTTTTTATTAGATGTTTTTTTCTCCTCCTTTCTGATAAAAAAATAAAAAAAAAAACAACCACTCGTCTGCTCTCAGGAAGTAGCCTGCTGGATGAATATTAATATGGATGCAAATGCGCGGTGAGGAGGATGCTCCGCGCCAACGCAGCGCGTTGATGTCCGCGCGTTTTTATTTTCATCTTTTTTATTCTTATTTTGTTTATTTTGACATTTTGAACCGTTTGATTGATATCTCCCCCCCTCTCTCTCGGGCAGCAGCATGGTTCTGGTTCTGAGGGGGTGTTTTTGCTGTCTGGAACGCCGCGTTGAGCAGCAGCATCATGGGTTTCTGTCAGACCTCCTCACCGCCGCCGCGCCTCGGTAGTAAAAAAGCAGAAATGGCTCCGGCTCTGCTGGTTCTCCCGAACATGGAGGAGGTTTCCCGTCGAGGAGAAGGCGTCAGTCCGACTATGTGCGTCTGAATATCGGATTTTTCAATTGACACATATTGGATTTTTTTCCTCCAGCCACCCTCCCCTCCGACGCCAAGACAGCTGTGTCATCAACAACCGGCGTGGTTTTGTTGTTGTCTGATTTTTTTTTATTTTGTTTTATGTGTCTGGGTTGTCGCCTCGTCCTGACACCTCTGCGCCAACAGGAGATCTAGTGACCAAGGTATGTACTCGGATCCACAATGGACCCCCGTGTGTTTTGCTCCATAAATCAGCCCGGCTTGCATCATCTAACCCACATCTAGGCAGCTGTCAGGGGCCGAAAGGCGCCGTCTAATTAGCGGAGAGGAGCGAGGGGGCTTATAGTATTAATAAAAATACTCATAATGTCTTTTTTTTAAAAAAAAAATCATTTCACGGATACATTTTGTTCAACCTTGCGGACTCGCAGCTCTCGTGGCACATATGGAGGAGAAGAAGCTCGAGGCGCAGCGTGGATGGTCGTGACGAGCTCTGATTAATATTTCAGCCCAAAACAAACCATCATCAGCTGACTGGAGATGCAGGAACACGCACTGGCCTTGCTTTATTCGCAGCGGCAGCAGCTATAATAATAATAATAATAATAATAATAATAATAATAATAATAATAATAATAATGCCAAAACGTCTGCATGAATATAAACGTGCGTAAATACAGCAGGGTTAACAGTGTGTGTGTGTGTGTGCGTGTGTGTATGGGCGGTATTGCGATTGTGAAAATACGGGTGACGTGGTGTGTGTGTGACTGTGCGTAAGTGTGTGTAAGTGTGTGCGCAGGCAGGTGAGAGTGTGTCGGCGCGCGCGCGCGCCTTTTGGCCAGGTGTCTGGACACCCTGATGAGATTTCTCCTCTYGTTGTTCCTATTTAAAGAGAAAAGGCTCGCTTGTTTTGCGTGAGGGACTGATTGTTGCTCAATATAGTGCCGCAGTAAACCCCCCCCCCCCCCCCCCCCCC